CTTGCTTTTAGTACCACGAAGGAATAATACGGTCTGTGACATCCTACTGAGTCGAGTCTTTGCATAGAGTCGAGTTGAGTCAGGCTGAACCAAACCCGGTTGGGGTAGAATGAGATTATAACATGAATCCAGAACCGGTTGGGGGGTAGAATGAGATTATAAGTGGACTTACCTTGAATGAGAGAAAAAGATCAAAGTATAAGGTTAGGATTTACTTGCACTAAAAGATCAAAGCTTGGGTAATTAGTTGTAACCTGTTGACCAATTTTTGGAGGTACCATTTGGTAAAGTTTCACATAAAAATTCATTGATATTTTGATGGCCTCCCGTGATAATCATTTCACTTTCCCATTTTTCCTATCTTTTATCTTCATCTTCTTTCATCCTCCTTCCTTTCCCTTCCTTTGCTCCATCCATTTTCATGGTTAGTTAAGCATTAAGGCAACCTCTATTTTCTCCAAGTAAGTAGAATTTCTTGATAGCTTTATCTGTTATTCAACCTCTAATTGAAGTTATAATTGTAGATAAGTTATAAGAATTCTGATGTGTATAGGAGAAGTGAGTTCAAAGATTGTAGAAAAAGGAGCATAAAAGAAGAGCTCAAGCTTTTTTGGGAGTAAAGGTTTGATATCTGCTTTGTCATTACGCATTTTTCTTTGCGTGAGAACTTGTGTGGTGTGTTGCCTAATGAGACACTATGTTTGCTTAAGTTGAGTGAGAGGACTGAAAATGGTGAGAAAGCATGGGATTAAATGAAATTAAATGGAAGAAATAGTGAGTTTTATGCTGACACATGTGGTTTTTTTGCTTGGAAAATAGAACCAGTAACTTCACCTTGATTTTTGACCCTATTTAATGAATGGAATTAGGAAGTGTTCCATAGAAGAGTTATTTTTGTTCCTCTATGTGTTAGCTTTACATGGGTTTTTTTTGAATCACCCAAATCGATTAATATATTGAGAGATATGACCAAAAGAGTTAGCAGGACTACGCAGGCTGGAAAACATGTCGCGCGCTCCGAATTTGTCCATTGCGCGCTCGCGAATATTTGGCCTGTAACTCACTGCTCTCATGTGTGCTTCTCTCACGCGCATCGGTGACTTCTCAAGGCGCGCTCGCGACTTGTGTTTTTTATGCTCTTTTTGGCACCTTCATTTTCTAATGCAATTGTATTCCTTTGCTCAACTTGTAATGCCTCCAATCATGTTAAAACCAAAAAAAGACAACAATTAGAACCATGTATCAAACATGCAAAGCATGCAATGATGTGAAACCAAGTAAACATTATGATTTTTTATGAAGTTATGAAACCTATTAAATATGCCTGTTGTGTTATGCTATTGGACATAGCCAACATTATGCTCCATTGAGGTTAGGTAGAAACCATGTAGATAAGGCTAATGTCGCGACCATAGGATAGCAAGATCTACACCCATAACAGTTTTGGATATTCCGCTAACAGGCCGTTGAGTGGAATATTGGATTATATATGGCCATAGCAGCCAAGGCATACAAGTTTCATCCAGTTTCATAACAGTTTTTCTTATCACTGTTCGGTTTTCAACTATAACCTTATGGAGCCAATAACAGATTATCTTGACTTAAAGCATTTCATGATCATACAGTATAATAAACAGTAAGAAAGATCATCCAAGGTAAAAAATTAAAGTATCATGATTATGTGTGCTTATATGTGCCATATGTGTTTTAGATGGTTCTTTCTATATATGTATGTGCTTACTTGTTTCTCTTATAAGTGAGATATCCACTGAGCCTTTATTTGCTCAGCGAGTTTACCCCTTGTTTTAAACTCGGCAATTCAAGGTTTTGAGACTGGACCCGTAGAGAGTCGGCTTACAACTGCTTGCAGTTCCATCTGTAGAAGACTCAGTCTTCAGGGATAGCTAACTCATTTTGAATTGTGTAATCTTTTGTTCCTAATCCTTTTCATTGGCATGTACAAGGGCACATAGTTGGGCCCATTCCATTTTGAAAAACTAGTATCAGTCTTGTAAATATTAAGGTACATTATTTATATATAACAGCATCAGCATGATATAAGAGTCTGTATCCATTAAGATATCAGCATGACAAGTCATAAGTCAACCAGTTTTGTAGCGTCTCGGTTCGGTTCCATTCGGGTTAACGGGTGGATCCGGGAAGGGCATTATGATATCAGCATGACAAGTCATAAAGTCAACCAGTTTGTAGCGTCTCGGTTCGGTTCATTCGGGTTAACGGGTGGACCGGGAAGGGATGTTACACTGTCGGTGCCACGGTCATGCCTCCAGTTCTAGCATTATGAGGTGGCAAATACACAGTCCGTCATATGGGCGGATAGAAGAGAGGAGTTCTACAGTTGAAACTCAGCTGAATTAGACGCCCGGTGCCCTACCGTAATTTGGACTATACTACTGGTTGAATTTCCATGTATTTTACCAGAATGCTTCTGACTCTCAAGTGGATAAAGCATGACTAGTGGACTGTCTGTGCATTTTACTGCAAGATCTTCCTCTTATAAAATGGTTCAAAATGACTAAAATGCCCCTTGCTTTAGTGTTTTCTTCCTCAAAAAGGTGGGACTTGTACTATAAGACAAGATAAATGCAAAATATGTACAATGCATGTAAAAACTAACTTTAATTTATTAAAAGTTCTTAAAATTAGACTAAACTAAAAGGTAAAAGGTATAAATTTATATGCATGAAATGCACACATCAAGACCCTAACTATATCAGCAGCAAGCAAATTAGTCACAATAAGGAGGGCCTCTCCAATAGCTGCAGACCACGAGGACTAGTTGGGGCCCTATTCGCAAGGCCATCCGCCACTGAATTCCCGTCACGAAATACATGCTGAATATTCACTCTCCAATCCTTGTTCAGAAGCTCATGACATGCAGAAACCAGATTTCCATATTTTCCCCTCATGCCATTAGACCCTTGTAGAAGCACCACTAGAACCTTAGAGTCTACTTGGAGTATGATGGACCGAAACCCCTTATTCCATGCCAAGCTTAACCCTTGAAACACACCCCATAATTCACCTTCAAGAGCTGAGCGTATACCAATATTCATCATAAAACCCCCCCACCCAATGGCCATTAGAATTTCTGAGAACCTCCCCTGCATCCCGCAGTGCCTGAGTTACCTTTAACACACCCATCCGTGTTAATCGCAATTGAATCAGAAGAAAAAGGGATCCAGTTAACCAGAATGGTACGAGGTTACTTATGGGGCTTATGGCTCCTAAAGAAACAGCTCCAAACTGACTAATTCTAACCACTCTTCAACAAATTATGAAATCCGAGGAGATAGAGTCAGCCATCTGAGTTGCTCCAAACACTCTTGTTCCTTTTCTTCCATATCCACTAGATAGTCATAGTAAAAAATTGTGCTTCATTTGTTGTTTGTAGCGCCTATCGAGCCATTACTCAAATTCTCAAGAAGCCAAGGATGAAGGCTTGAGTGCAAAAGCCAGGACAATAGTCAAGAGCTTGAAGCTCGTTCCAAATACTTTTCGCACTCTGACAATCCCTTAGAACATGCAACTAGTCCACATATTCCAGGCAAAGGGAGCACGAGCCATTTAATGTAAAACCAGACGTCTCCTGTTCCAATTACACATCAAACTATCATGGGTCATAGTCTAAAGAAAGAAACGACATCGTTGCGGCACCTTGGAATTCCAAATCATTTTCTATAGCCTAGAGAGAACTGATTCGTCCTCCCCATTAACATGCCATACGCTGACTTAACAAAATAAAGACCGAAAGTGGTCTTATCCCAAGCTATTCCATCCATCATAATCGCATCATTCGAAAGGGTAACAAAATCCAAAATATTAAGAATATGGTGAGGCAGCTTCAAAGCCAAACTATCCCAATGCCATGATCCATCCAGAATCCAGTAATCTGGAACGCATTGATTCAGCTCACTCTCACTAGGGGTTGGATAGGATGAACAGAAAGTGGCTCACTCAGAAGCTAGTTTTCCTTCTAGAAGGACGTTGTATACCCATTATGAACTAGCTTACTACATCCGACATTCACAACCTTCATACCACTCACAACTCCCTTCCAAATATAAGATGAGCCATTCTTTGAAACTCAATTCACAGAGTGAAGCCATTGTATAGTCCCTCTAGCCTTTAGGTCCATTGTTTGACCAAAATACCAGCTAATTTCAATTCATACCTATCTAATTAAAGTCATTTTGGAAATAGTTGGACGTAATTACAAGTTCAAGCCCAATTATACACTTTTACCTATTTATTTGTATCAGTGAATTTATCCCCCCCTCGAACTAGCCCGTGAACCACCATTTCTAGTTCGACTCTTGAAACTAGCGAGTTTGGGCCGATTTTGATTAATCAAAATACAACAGATTCCAAACCGAAGAAATCAATAGTCATGCCTAATTATAATCTTTTAGAAATGGTTTGACACAATGAAAATTTCAAACCAAATTATATACTTACTTTTGAAAAATATGTTTTGCACGTTGGCTATACTCATCATATATATTAATAATTAAATTTTTTAAATATAAATTTCTATTAATTTTTTATTTAAAGTTTCTAATTAAAATGTAATTTCTTTATTATCATAATAAAATATTAGTCATTTTAAAATTAATGTCCATAATAATTTTACATAGTAGATAAGTTATTATTAAAATATTTGTTATTTTTCTCCTAGATCTTAACATGATTCCTAATTAAATTCAATCCTTATTATGATTTTTAATTGAGTAATATTTGTTCGTTTTTTAATTTTAATCTTAAGATAAGATTTTTTTATTTTAATATTAGGTTCAAATATTAACCAAAATTCTTTTAAAATTTTTTTTTGGAAACAAATTCTTTTAAACATTAAAAATGGAAAAGAACTAAATGGGGGTAATTTGGTCAACCTAAAAGATATCAAAATACTTGTCGTGAAATCAAAGGAAAATGCATAGAATTAGGATCTCAATTTCAACTTTCCAAAAAGTAGATATCTTCTTTGTGTTCCCAAACACATCCCTTCACAAGTATAGTAACTGCTCAAAATAAAATGAATTTGAACTTGAAGACTGGAAGTACAAGTTCTTCTATCACAATGTCATCTTCTATTCACATTTTTTTGCTAGCTCTCATTTTTGTTGCTTTAGCCCCACAAAAATCAGGTAACTATTAATTTTGATTCAGTAATGCCAGAGTCATTTCCAAAATTGAGAATATAGATATATACACTTTTAATTAGCGTATTTCTTTTTTTAATTATTTCAGATGAAGAGATTGCTAATTTGAATTTACGTATAGAATTGTAAAAGAGCCAAGCTAACCGAGCTATGTTAAGCTCAAGTTTTGTTCGAAGCTTAACAAACAGTTTGACTCATTTACAATCGGATTTACATATGAGTGTACATATATGTAGGGTTGTAAAAGAACCAAGCTAAACCAGGCTATATTGGACTGGAGTTTGGTTGGATAAGCTTAACCAGCAGTTTGACTCATTTACAATTTGATATTTATAAATAGACAAAGTCTATTTTTTATAGATGTTATTTATGGTTGTAATTTTATAGATGGACAATTTGAGGAATGGTGCATAGCAGATGAGCAAACCCCAGAGGCAGAGTTGCAAATAGCACTTGATTGGGCATGTGGAAAGGGAGGTGCAGATTGCAGAATGATTCAAGAAAACCAACCATGTTACTTCCCAAACACAGTGAAAGATCATGCCTCTTTTGCCTTCAATAGCTATTATCAGAAGTTCAAGCATAAAGGTGCTACTTGTTACTTCAGTTCTGCTGCTATCATCACTGACCTTGATCCAAGTAAGATTTATTTGATGATCATAAAAAATTATCATCCAAATTAATCACTAATTGCTGCTGTTTTTAACTTTAATATCTCAAATGTTGTTAACAGGTCATCATTCTTGCAAATTTGAGTATCTTCCCTAAGCGGAAAGGTTCAACTGAAGATTTTTGTTTCTGCATCTACTTTGTAATTTCACTTTGTTAGTTATGAGAAGAAGCTCTCAGAATTAGTTTGGCTAAGTTTGGTACACTTATTTGTTGTATTGAACTTTATATATATATATATAATTGCATTATTATGAGAACAGGGTGAAAAATTAGTTTGGTGTCATTTTTTTTTTCTTTTAGAAAGAGGGGAAGCTTTATTGAATTAAATGATAAATCAAAATAGCTTCAATACAATGAGGGACTATATCCATATCTGAAAGCGAGTTAAAGAAATAGCCACTCGTATAGGAGAATGGGCAGGGATGGATCCAAAGGGTTCGGGAGGGACTGTGGTTCCCCAGATAAAAAAAATTTAAAATTTTTGAGTGAAAAATTTTTGAGAAAAAAAATATTTTAACTTTTTACTCTCTATAATAAGTAAAATTATTTTTGCCCCCTAACCGTTTGGGTTGTGTTTACTGAGGAATGTTAGCTTGCCATCTAATCCAAGCTAAGGAAACGTCAACCAATTGGCTTAACAAGCTAAATGAACTATCCTTTAACCATGAAAAGAGCTTCACACAAAGTGATAGCTTCTGCCATAGGAGGATCATGAAGATATGTATAATACCCAGAGATGGCTGCTGCAAAATGTCCAGAGTTTGGTGTTATTTTATATAATTAATATTCATGTTGTTCATTAAACCAAGTCTAATGGTAATATGCTTTTCCTCTAAAACTTTATTTAGGTAATAAACATATAAAATAATTAAAAATTAGACAAATTCTATCAAAAAAAAAAAAAAAAAAATATTTTTATATAATTAATATTCATGTTGTTCTTAAACCAAGTCTAATGGTAATATGCTTTTCCTCTAAAACTTTTATTTAGGTAATAAACATATAAATAATTAAAAAAATTAGACAAAATTCTAATCAAAAAAAAAAAAAAAAAAAGACCACAAAGTAGTTTAAAATACCTAATTATACAGTAGAAAAATTGTTACTTAAAATCTTAATAAGAAATCTAAAACATATTAAAAAACAAGAGATATTGAATATTAAGTAAAATTAATTATAATCTTAATTTGAAAATAAAATTAATAAAAAACCTGATGAAAAAGGGAAAATACGCATATCAATATAAAAAATTGAAATAAAAGTTAGACATACATTTTAAAAATTGCCAGCAAGATTTTTATAAAAAAAAAAAAAAAAAAAAGACAAAGTAGTTTAAAATACGTAATTATACAGTAGAAAAATTGTTACTTAAAATCTTAATAAAGAAATCTAAAACATATTAAAAACAGATAATTGATATTAAGTAAATTAATTATAATCTTAATTTGAAATAAAATTAATAAAACTGATGAAAAAAGGGAAAATACCATATCATATAAAAATTGAAATAAAAGTTAGACATACATTTTAAAATTCACAAGATTTATGTTAGTTTAGAAGAAAATCTATTGTTTTGCTAAAGTGAAATGGTACTTTACATTTGATACAAAAAATTATAATTAATTTCATTAGGTTTTGAATTCGAGATTTTTTAGGTCATAATTTTTTGGGGTAGGTTTGAGTTGTATTGCTTTAGATATCGTTTATTGGATTGTATGTCAATTCCAAGTCCAGTTTAATTTTTGTACGTAGGAAACCCTAGTTCTTCTCTTTTCTTTTTAATTTTCTAAGCCTAATTTTAGTTTGGAGCTGTCACAGCGGTAGTCAATATATTTTACTCTTTCTTTCATTTTGTTTTCTTTTGCTTTTAATCTTTTATTCATTTTAATAAGCTCATATCCGTTTTTTCTATAGCAGATTTTTTTTATTGTTACTTTGTCTTCATATTTAGAGTTTTTTTGTCTGTTCTTTGTGAGGGTAGTCCGTTCTTTGTAAGAGTTTAATACTAAATAAAAATATGTCATTTAATTTTATTTAGCCGGCGATTTTTTAGATCTTGATTTGCAGGTGTAGATCTTCAATCAATAGAGTCTCGTAGTGTAGCATGTTCTTTCGTTGATGCTATTAATGCATAGTGAAAAAATTATCTGTATTCATCATATGTTGTAAATTTTTAAAAAAGCAATTTATATATAAAAGATCAAGACAAATTATTATTTTATCGTTCAAATCAATTAACGAACTAGTTGCTGCTATTAAGATTTATATCCTTCGTCAAGATCAACTCTAAGCAAAAAGATCTAATATTATATTTCTTAATTTTAGTTTCATTATTCAAAAGGATATAAATTCTTTTGCTTTGTTAAAAATCAACGAACTCTATTAACTAAAAATAGCGAAATTCTACATCTAGTTTATATAACTATTTGAGTCAAATCAAGTTATGTCATGTCAAGTCGCTAATGATATTGTGTGAAAGGAATAATATTTTGAAGGAAAAACATATATATTATAGATCTATATAAAATTCGAAAATAAATTTTTTACATGAACATTATTTTCAAATTTAATTGAAATTATAAAATAATGAAGTAATGGAAAGTATTAACAATTAAAATTCACATATGAGGAAATAATTATTCATACTATTAAATTGAAGAAAACTAAATTGCATTAAATAGTTTAGTTTAATGTTTGCCTAGCAGTTTGAATTGGGTTTGGGATTTGCAACCTCCACCACATATCTAAAATTGTGACTGAGATGAGAAGCCCTTAGGTTTATGCTTCTGTTCTGGCAACAAGATGAGCTTGCATGTGCTGTTTCTATGGAGGACCAGTCCAGAAGTCTCTGAAAGAGTGAAAGAAAAAGACGGAAGAGCTTGCATTGCATTTTAATATTAATTAAATTATTATACATTAATTGGAAAGCTATGTTGAAAACGCAAAAAGAGCTGCTGTGAGATTTATATAAATTATTAAGTAATTAATGTGAAAGTGACTCATCTCATCCACTTCCATAGAATCCCAACAACCATTCCCATTTATCTTCTCTACCCCACACGCATTTTCAATCCTACAATAACCAAAAACGATTAGTTTGGGGCCACACCATAAAAGGATTGTTTTAACTATGCCCCAAATGGAACTTTGTCCTTTTGATACTTTGAATTTAATATCTAGGTATAATTACACCCTAATTTAAAATTAATTCATTTTATTCTATTTTTGTGGGATTCACACTCTTTTCTATAGTTAGCTTAACCTAATCAATTAGTTAAACTTAACCACACCATTTTATTTTTAATTAAAAATAAATAAATCTTTAAAGTTTGAGGGTTTTCTATGTTTTGGCCATTGATTTGGTTTGATTTTTTTGATTATTTTTGAATGAAATCATACTTATTTTTCAGGTCTAATAAAAATTGAATCAAATTTGAATATATTAAAAAATAAACCGAACCAAATTGATTTTCAAGGCTCTAATTGGTGAATTTTATTGAATTTAGTCTAGCTCTAATCAACACATTAAGTCTCCGTTCATTTTTGAAAAATATTTTCCAAAAGACTTATTTTCCGTTGTTTAATTGCAAAATTAAAAATTAGTTAAAAAATATTAAAATTTTTAACCTATAAAACTATAAAAATATTTATAATAATAAAAATTTTGTATTTTAAAATTTTATTATTAAATATGAGAAAAAAATATAGAAAATGGCAAATTGACAATGTCATTGGTGACGGTCTCCACTGCTCCCTGACTTCTTTAAAATATTTTTCGACTATGTTTGGTATGATGTAATTAACCATGTAACGGAATGAAAATTATATTACATGGTTGATTACATTGTTTGGTTAGACCTTTTTTTTTAAAAACTTATAATGTAATTGAGATTATATTTATAATTTTTATTACTTAGGCTCTGTTTATTTTGGTAAAATAACTTGTAGGAAAATATGTTTCACAATTTTCCGTTGTTTGGGTCATTTAGGAAAATAATCAAAGGAAAATATTTTCCTGGTCAAAGGAAAATTTAGTCATTTTTTAAGGAAAATAATTTCTCATTTTTGAGAGAGTAAAATATTTTCCGGACATTGACAAACCTTATAAATCCATATTTTTTAATTTATAATCATCGTAGTCACTGCCACTAGTCACCATTTACCACCGGCCATTGGCGGAGCTTTCATAATTTTTTTTTCATTTTTCTTATATTAACAATAAAATTTTTAAAATTCTAGTCAAAATCTCAAATTCAATACATTTCCACATCAACCAAATCCTTTTATGTATGGTTTTTCATATGCTCTCTATGGCATGAGTTTTTTTTTGTCTTTCTTTGTTAACCTTTTTGGCGGCTCCTAAACCCTAAGTTTGGCCATGATGAATCCATCTTTGGAGTCATTATCGCTGGCAGAAGCTGAGGACGATGGGTATATGGTTGAACTGACAACAGCTTAACCAGAAAACACATATGAGTTTTATTTAGTGGGGATGTTCCTCACTTCAAACACCATTAATTTCCAAACAATGAGATCCACGTTTGTTGATCTGTGGCATCCACTAGGGAGAGTGGGGATAATGGAGTTAGAGGTGAAGAGGTATTTATTTAGGTTTTATAATGAAGTAGACGTTGAGAGACTTTGGTTAGGGTCCCCATAGCACTTCAATAAACATTTACTAGTTTGGCATCGGTTGAAGGATGGAGAAGAACCCCTGCATATTCCGTTAGTTACTGCTGATTACTGGGTTCAATTTCAGGATATACATAAAGGGTTTATGTCAGAACCGGTGGCTAGGGTGCTCGGTGATTTTATGGGGAAGTTCATTAAATATGATTCTAGGGTGGCTACATCCTATAATCCCTCATTTATACGGATAAGGGTTCAGTTGGACATTAGAGAACCTCTTTGACGTCGGAAGAAACTAATCCTTCCTTCAGGGGAGGCATTTTTGTGCTTTTTCGATATGAGAGACTCATGATTTTCTACTTTCTTTGTGGTAAACTAGGCCACACAAACAGTTTTTGTGAACTAAGGCTTCATCGGTGTAAGGAGGAGCTGCATTCGGAATGGAATGATAGTATTAGGGTTCCGCCGTGTCGCCCTGCTCAACGTTCCAGCCATTGGTTGCATGATCAAACAAAGGAGGATTTGGCGAGATTTTCGCCAACAAATCAAGAAGGGGTGGTGGTAAGGAGTTAACTTTCCAAAATGGATGCATCCTATGAGTCCTTCCTAAGGAGTGCCATGCAAGATATGTCGTTGGTTAAAA